GTCATTCATACAACATTGGATTCGTATCAACTACTGTATTATACGATCGCTTATGATTGGATGCTCTTTGGACATGATTTAGCAGACAGGCTCAATAAAGGAGAAGAAATACTTTTCTTCTGTTTTGATTTCTTAAAATATATCGAAAACGAACAATTCAGCATACACAAACATTATGACAGAACATCAAAACATAGCGAATCGGAAACTTTTGTGATTGATAGCGAGTCTTTCGAAATCATAACAAACTCAAGTTTTAGTCCAAAGAACAGTTCATCTAGTTCTATTGAACAAAATAGCGTAGATGGTGATTCATCGGCAGCTGTGTTCTTTACTGATTCCACTGATAATCAAGATGACTCACGCAATAATGTGTACGATTATTTTAATTATTTATTTTTAAGTATTATAGCAATTTTATATTAACATCATCTGCTAAATTACGATCAGAGTTCTAACATATTTTTGTATATATTATAGAAATGCTGTTCACAGGACATTTACTACATCTCCAAACAAAGATAGTGGTGCCGTACAAGAATCGCGCTCATCATTGTCCGCAAATCGTACATCTCCGATTGGTGTTCCAATACCACGTAATCCCCATGTTCGACAACGAAACGATTCAACATCCTCAGGCGATTCATGGCAATTGGTAACAGGGACTGGTAGCCTATGTGGTTCCACGACTGCTAATGCTCCACACCTAGACAATGTATTAGCACCTGATTCAGATTGCAAGCCATCATGTACTACTTGCCGTAGAACTCGACGTACATCGCAAGAACGCAACATAAATGATGATGAAAATTGTGTAACGCATACACAGTGAGTATAATTTCTCGGTTCAATGGTAAATATTTTATTCCTTATAAAATCTATATATATTAAAAATTTAATTCCAGACGTAGAGAACGATTACATTGTCTTCGAAATATATTTTATAAGGCTTATGGACCTCATGGATTCCGATTGAAGGACGAATCAGGTGGTATCAGCCAATATATTGGAAACATTGTTGGGATGACTTCCATTCAGCGCACATCCTAGTGGCAAATGTTATTGAGTGACTTTCCAAGAGCATGAATTTACAATCGATTTTTTCTATTCTAAGATCACCTGATCATTCTTCTATTCTTGATTCATTTTTTCTATTCTTTAATCTTCATTTATTATTCATTAGTTCTCATTTTCTCTAAATGCATTTCTTCCATTCCTTATTCCTCGTTTATTATTTTCTTTAATCCTTATTTTCTTTAATCACTTCTTTAATTTCTTATATTTTTTTAGTTCTTGTTTATTATTAGTTAGTCCCCATTTTCTAATTGCATGTACAAGAAAAAAATCATATATCTTGTTTCTTTAACTTGTCTTTTCACTCTCTAACTGTAATATGATTAAATGGAGAGCAAGAAAATCATAACTTAAAAAAGCTCTCTTAAACGCTTTTGTCGTATAAGAGAAAATATAAAACGAAGACTCTTAGAATAGTAGAAATCGATTATATTGTTAATGGGTAAGATCAATGCGATGCTACAAATGCTTTAAAACATTTTTTGTTTTTTTTTTTTATTAATTTATAAAATTCTTCTAATTGATCAATCAAACGCTTCAAAGCATTTGTAGTGGGACTGATCGCAGCCAATAATACTTTTGTCCAATTAACAATTTTATAAAATGAGTTTATAAATGAAAATGAGGAGAGATTGTACATAATTGTTTTTCTCAAAATTAGACTGTTATACAAAATGTAGTATGATTGAATATGATAATCAGAAATAATTGAATAAAACTTGATATTTTTGTATATATCTATAAAAGCAGATATATTACTTTCATTTTCCCATATGTAATTCCTATATATAAATACTAATTCTTATTAATCGATTGTCAATATCTTATAAACTTGCAGATAAAAATGACTTAAATCTTTTGATAAAAAGTTTTGGGAATTCCACATTTTGAAATATAATTTTTCCAAAAGAATGACGGGTAAACTTAAATTCTTTTTATCTTAAAGATGTTTTCGTTTTAAAAATATATTAATTTCTTGTAAATGTATAATATATAAATATATACAAGACCTTTATATATAACTTTTATATATAATATGTATTCAAAGAATATATAAAATCTATTATCACAGAAAATTATAAATTCATCAAGTGGACAATTCTCGACGGTGGTACATATTCTCTACAGTATGGACATTGTGGTTTAACACGCAACCATTCGCTAAGACAGTTCCAGCAAAATAGATGACCACATAGTGTTGCAGTTGTTGCTGTTGCTTCTAGACACAATTGACAATTGTGACTAATGTCTTTAGCATTAGACATATTTACATCGGTAGTATCTTGTGCAGTACCACTCTGCCAAATTCTCAATAGACATTGAATTATAGTAGCAACTCCTAATAATCTTAATCCCCAGCTAACAGTATCCTTCGGTCGAGGTCCATATACCTTCAAATTATTATATAAATATAACAAAATTAAATATAATATTATGAATTTTTGGAGCTTGAAATTTACCTTTGTATAATCTAATCCAGCAATTCTCCTGCCCAGACTGTAGTATCTACCATAAATGTAAAATATCCCTTTGTGGAACAATATAATTATAGGTATCAATGTGCGTAACTTGGATAGTAAAGTATTTAAAAATGTTATTGCTGTTGGAGTCAACTCGCTACGTGGATGATTCACATATGTTTGTAACTGTTGTAGCAATTTGAGCAATGTCCTCTCACCACCATATTCTAAAATCGCAGCTAATATTCTCACCTAAGGAAAAATAGAATTTAATTAAGTTATCAGAGGGATTTGCCTTTAAATAAATCTCTCAAACTGGACGTACAGTTAATGTTGGAACTCTGCGTTGCTCTAAATTAGCCTGTACTATGCCGGTATATTCCTCGCCCAATGTTTGATTGCCCATACCCGATGTGAAAATAAAGTATAATAACTTGAATGGAATGTCAGACCGAATATATTGAAGCAATGTCCTGTGCACTCCGAAATTCTGTGATACATCGGACAGCTTCTCCCGCAAGAATTTAATAAAATCATCGTCCCTTTGATGCGATCGTAATATTTCCGCCTGACTCGCACATTTTAATTTGCGGTGAGGCCAATTTCTGTCAGTCTGCATTTTTCGGTATTACACGTTTATCGTGATATATGGAGTACGAGACGCGTGATGTCAAAATGCGAACTCATGCGTGGTCATGCATGAAACTCTAAAAAAAACCTTAGATTGAGTAATTCAAGTTAGTTCAAGTCAGTCCAAGTCAGTTCAAGCAATAACGATAGGAACAGAGGAATTCAACATACGGAAATGCATTCCCATGTGTTAGATTCCTCTATTCCTATCGCTATCGCTATTGTTATTTCTATCACTATCGCTGTTGCCTTCGCATTGTGTTTAGGTCTTTAGCTGCGATTTCACGGAGATATGGTATTTCTCCCACTCCCATCAATATAGCTGAAAACAGAAGCATATAACTACCATAAAACTTATATTACTAGAGAGGGAATGGCCTATCCAAGCAATGAGTGGAAAGTGTGACCTAGGGTACGGTCAATGCGATGCTACAAACGCTTTGAAGTGTTTTTTAATTGGTCAATTTGCAAAATTCTTTCTTCTAATTATAATGGTTCATTAAACGTTTCAAAGCGTTTGTAGCAAGACTTTGACTACTAGAGTCCTTCTAGTAAGGACTCAAGTCATAAGGGGTACCGATCTCTGATTGGTCAGATTTTGAATACCTTTATAAACGCTGCCATTTTCAGATATTTTAAAGGTGGTAGTGAATCTGTGAATTGGTGTGAGTAAACTGTTTCAGTGTAGAAGATGAAATCAAACTATCAACTGTCACTATCAACTTTCAATCATGGTGAAATTGTTGCTGTTTCCGGCCACCCAGCAATGGCGTCCTTCCGGTCTTAACTCTTGCTAAAGAAACTCTAGTGTGAGCAAGACTGAGAGACAGAAGACGTATATTTCTGTCCTGCTCAGCTTTTCTTCTTTCTGCGCATGTGTCAAAAGAGGACAGAAATACATTTTCCTTCTCTCAGTCTTGGAAGAGATAACATGTGGTGTGGCTCAGGGTATCAATCATAAAACTTTATAGGTTAATTTTTACGAGCTGCTCTAACTGGCTGTTTCAGCGACAAAAATGATCACGTGATCAAAATGGATCCTTGATATTCGTCATGAAAAAGAGGAAAGCGAAAAAGCGGAAGCCAATCTCGCTGTAGTAATAAGCGATATTTCTGCTTTTGTCTTTCCGCGAGTTTTGATTGGCTTCCGCTTTTTCGCTTTCTGTTTTTCCGTCAAGGTGTGAACCCAGCCTTAAATGTAGCGCGGTAAGTTGCACGGGCTAGTGACAAATAAACTTTGATATGAATTTTTTAAATATTGTATATTAACCCATTTCTATGCACATTTTATCAATACTCTTATTTTTTCAACGGGTTTACTTAATAATTGCATTTACATCAATAATTCTATTAAAAAGTGCTTGGTAACATGAATTTGTCGCTTATCGAGCTACATGTAATGACTTCTGCATACTGGACGCGGAAACGCTTACCGGCAAAATGTGATGCAGTAGCCAATAAGCTTGCAGCTCAATGTGTTCATTGGTTACCGCGTCTTATTTTGTCGCGCGGCAGATGTTTCCGCGTCCAGAGTGTAGGAGAAAAGAAGCAAACGATACGGTTTGCGTGGTTCCTATATTTTCCCAAGATCTGTTTTCTAAAAATCTGGAACTAGTGTACACTTTTGAAACTTGAAGTGTAATAGGTATATGTTTGATACAATATTTGTTGAAAGCGAGAAAGAGAGTGCTAATGTAATCTAGTGCAGGAACAGAAAACAGACCACTAGTTAGTTTCTGTTATACGCTACTCTGTACATCTAGTGATTTTTCCTAGAATTTGTCGGTAAGGAAGAATAGCGGCTGATTCGTCCGGTCGACTGCACCGAGTGCCGACGACAATGGCGGCGATGCGTGTTCACGGATAGAGGGCAACGGTGGCGGTGCGGCGGCAAACGGCGGAGAGGCATCGCCCTAGATAACGGTAGAATCGCGCAGTGCTGTCGCGTTGTCTTCTCGCGTGAGTGTGAAAATCTAGGAGGCGGGGAGGCGTACAGGAAAGGCAGGCGGCGGCAGGAGAGAAAGAGAGAGAGAGAGGCGCGTCCGTCCGCGATCCGTGTAATCAGCGTCGTCGTCGCCTTCTTCAAGGCTCCCGTTGCCCTCGTGAATCGCGGAACGAGTCGTGTGTGCCTCTGCGGATCGATCGGTACGCACAGTGCCGATATATCAGGCGTGCCGTGTGTGCGAGAATCTCTCGAGACTCGAAACGCACTCGAGAGAACTGAAGAGAACCCGGTACATAAGCCGCATTCGTCATAACGTGCGACGCGAATTCCGACCTTTCGTCAGCCAATGCGGAATCAGTCAGGCTAGTTGGTTGGCCAGCGGCAAGAACCGTTCAACAGTGAGGACAGATAACGCACATCGGTTTCGTCCTCGTTATCCCTTGGCTCTCCCCAATGGACTCGTGACAGTGTGCGGAGACGGAGCAGCCGAGCTGAATACAAAAAAAAAAAAGAAGAAAAATAGAAGAACGCGCGGGTGGGCCAGGTAGGCTGTAATAATTGTCGAGGTCTCGTCAGTCGTGGCGACGAGGAAGAGACAGACGAGTGGCGCGCGTGAGACGGGGACAACGAGGGACGCGAGAGGAGGAAAGCGAGAATATACAGGCTTGCCTCTGCGTTGCGTGTGTACGTGTATGCGCGCTTGAGAGCCGCCGAGCCGACTTGCGCGAGCGACAGAGACGGACAGTAGGAAAAAGAGAGAGAGAGAGACAGAGCGGGAACGAGAGAACGGCGGAGAGAATTATCGAGTGAATCCCGGGAGATACTGTGTTCTCTGCGAGGAGCGAAGAGCGTGGGGCATTCAGGAGGCACGAGAGGTAAGGACTCGGCACACGAGACGGAGCGCGGCTCCTCTAAAAAAAGAATCCTCCCTCTCCTTCCCTCCCTCCTCCCCTCCTCCCTCCTCCTCCATTCGAGAAGGCGCCGTGCATCGTGCCGTGGCGTGGCATGCCGAACCGAGACCGGAAATCGTTCACGGCGTCGTCGGCGACCGCCCGCGCCGGGAATCGAAGGCGAACCACACGTTTAGTTCAGAGAATGATCGGTAATGGGTGCTTTACTGCTTTCCATTTGGTGAACACGAATTGTCGTTCTACCTTCGTTTACTCCCCGAATGCCAGAAAGATAGAAATGATGTTTATGTCGAGATTTGTGCCAATAAATGGAGAGCGACCAACGAATTCTTTCCCTTCCCTACCCCCGGGAAAATTGTCAGGCCCTGTTCCTCTCAGTCGAACCCGCATAGCTCGTTTTTGAGGGAAGAGGAGAAAAGATGAATCATGCAAGAAGTCCCTGAAAGAACAGACTCGCGCTTCGAGACGGTCCGAGATCGGTAAGCGTGAGTCTGCGGCAACGGCGGGGGATCGGTGGTGCCTCGAGTGTCACGTTTTTCTCGCGGCGAGTCCGCGTCTCTCGGGGAGGAAACAATACCTCCCTCCGAGGGAAATGGGCGTTGTTTCGTCCTCTCGTTGTCTCCTCGTGATTTTCCCAACCGAGCGAGAACAACGCGCGCGGCTCGCTCTCCTCGTTTCCACACCGGGCAACTAGCGTTTCCTCTTACGATCACGGCCCGCCCGAACCGTTCGCGACAGCTCGCGATATACGCGACAACAGGAGGATCTTCCTTTGAGGACCGCCGTCGTTTCCATCGGGGATTCGGGGAGTAAACGTCAGGCGGATCACGCCGGGCGGTTTAGACCGATCCTTCGTCTCTCTCTTTCTCTTTCTCTCTTTCTCTCCTCTGTTTTTGTCCCTCCCGTTTTTCGCACGTGGATAGACGAGGAGATGCGGTTGCACTGTAATTGGGTACTAACGAGCACATCTGTAGGAATATCTTGCGGGATTTCCTGCGTGACTAATGCGACGAAGAAATAAATCGCTTGGAGGTAGATCGTCGGGGACAAAGGCGAGATTCTTTTCGGCCGTAGTTTCTTGCACTCCCTTTCTTTCTCTCTCGGTGTTTAAAATATAAAATAGACTCGTGTTCTCGCGGAATATCTGACTAAGAGGAAACGAGAGTACTCGTATGACTGTATAGAAATGCAGGAAAATATGAGAGAAAAGTAGAAAAATTAAGTCCGATTAATTCAATCTTCCTTGTCTATATTTTTTTCTCATCTATCTTTGTTTCTATTTATAGAAGAAATAAATCTATCTGATTATATTATGATAATTGAAATGTTGGTAGATTCAATCATAAAGGTATACATAGTTGAATCTATCAAATATTCTAGTTGAAGTAATCAGAAATTCAGTTACGATAACTAGAATTCTGACTAGTATGATCGGAATGTGTTTTGTTTGTACTTCTTGTTGATACAATCGTTAGAAACAGAGTCTGGTTGCGTTAATTGGAACTTTGATTGAAAATAGGCAAACAGAACGTTCTGTCTATTTTTAACCGGAATTTTTTTTCAGTGTGTAATATATTTATATTTTCTTTCCATGACATCGAAAAAGAGTCTGGTTGCATTAATTAGAATTAATTAGTTGAAAATAACTAGAATAAACAGGATTCTGATTGATCAGAATTTCTAATTCGTCCAATTTTAATCAGAAATTTTTCTCAGTGGAGAAAAAAATCAAATAAACTCGAGCTGAAATTACCTTTTTATAAATCTACCAGTTGTTAAGCTCAATTGAAAAATTTGTCTATTAGGATTCTGTCGGGAGCATAAAAACGATCGCTGCATCCGTTCGATGCATCAACTTGAAGTTATAGGGTCTTTTAAATATAAGCGTTGACACGAATCTCGTCAATTTAAACCCGTAACGCGGTGACGGGAGAAAAGAATAGGGATTAATCATTTTAATATCGAAGAGAATGGGGGAGAGAATCGAATGCGAGGGAAGCAACGCACTAAAGAGAGAGGTTGTATCCTGTATTCTCATCGCGAATCGCGAATCATGTAAAACTGGAGCTTAGGAGTAAAATCAAAAATCGCTCTTCGATGCGCAAAGCTTTAGAATTTTTAAGCTGGACAGCCTTGATCCACTCTCTCTATGCTGTATTTTTTTTTATAGAAGATAATTTTGGTGATTGATCCATAGCCTTTTCAACAAAGATCACGGAGAACCGCATGGCGTGTTCTAATCTGTAGTCGACTCACGTGAGTCATCGGCGTCGCGCAGGAAGTGGCTTCTGGGAAGAAAGAATGTCGACATAATGCTGATCGGGTATTCTTACTTATTGTATGTGAGAGATTTTGTTTAGACATCGACCGAAAAAAAGAAGAAATATTTTTTGTTTATAATCTTTCAACAAATGACGGGGTCAAAAGATGATTATTTATGAACAAATTGAGAGTCGCAAATCGAATATCGTTTATATAATATATATTTTCTTTTTCTATGTCGGAAAAAATCAAATAAAGGTGGCTTCAGACGATATAGCCAATGTAGACCAACTTTGCATACTTTCGTTAAATATTGATCCATTTATATAGATAATTAAACATATTATGTATGTAATATTTGTTAATATTGTCGTACATTGGCTATATTATCTGGAACTATCTTTAGTTACTTCCTGATGCTCGTTTCTATTTCACTGAAAAAAAATGTTTCGTTGAAAATGGACAAACCAGAAAAAAATTCTGATTATATTAATCAGAATTTCACTCAACTAAAATTTTGATAGATTTAACCAGAAAATTCTAGTTGATTTAATCAGGATGGTTTGTTCATTTTTAACCAAACATTTTTCTCAATACGAGTTTAATTTTAATCTCGGTTTAATTAACTCTTCACCTTTTCTAATTCTAAGAATTAGAAAAAGATGAAAAGTTAGTTGATCCGAGATTAAAGTTGACCCTTACTGTACAAGGTCACTAATGATCGAGCAAGTAATTCCTGCTTGTCAGGTTTCTTTGAGTCTTTCGATAATTATAAATTATACTACTTTTATTATTTTGCAAAATGAAGTTCCAATATTTATTTTAGAAAGTTGAAAGTATATTGGTGAGAAAGTATATTGGTCCATGTTTGGACGGATGCGGCACCAAATTGCACCTTATGTTATAAGAGTTAATCTATACTGATAGAAATGAGCATGAGAAAAATTTTTGGTTGAAAATAAATAAATCAGAAGATTTTGATCATAGAATTAGAATTCTGGTTATTTTAGAAATTATAGAATTATAATAGATTCATTCAGAAAATTTTGATTTGTCCATTTACAATTAGAATTCCAATTAATGCCACACTCTTTTTTTCGATATATCACCTGCCAATTATTAAGCTTTCTCATTTGAAACATTCATTTATTGGAATTTTTGTCGGGATTATAAAAATAACTTTTTTTTATATAAATTCGTATTTCTTGTCAATTTCACATATCGAAGAGGGATATCTCAAAATTTGCACGTCACGACCGATATTTTTCCCGCTAATGGGTATATAAAATTTACGATTGAGAAAAACGCGAAATTCAATTCGAACATATTCGGTCATATAAGCTTCGAATTAATCAACGTCATAATGCCTCCTCGTGAGATTTGCTTTGAGTACGTTTCGTTGATTTTACTCTTGTTCGTATTTGCGCGCGAGCATTGCATTATTTGCTACTTGTTGAACTGTAAATAACATTAGATAGCACGTTAAACGTTGCGGCGTAGTGTTAATACATGTTGTATTAAACGCAACCGATGCACTTAAGAAGTTACCGTCGTAGTACATAATAACATAAGGATAAGCTATTTTGAGCGTTTCGAAATATTGTCGTAGACCTCGGAAGATAAAACAAAAGCTTTTACGGCGCAAAATTGCAAGGAAGTGCAATAATAATTTTCACGCGCCGAGTGATATTCTAATCGACACGTGTGTATTAACGTGACGTTAGAGAAAGACCAGACATATAGTTAGCGCCTACGATATCATCTCGTATCGCATAAAAACGATAAAACATTTTATTTAAGCGATAACTCACCAATACGGATCGGTCATCCTTGAAAAATGAAACAAGAAATCTTATTCCACGTTGTTTGATCGATGGTTATGAACGATTATAAAGATTGATGCCGTATTTATGCGGTTTTATTCTTGTAATAGAGTTTTCTTATATATATTTATATTTTTCCGGTTTTCAAGATACATTGACAGGAATATTACACAAACAGAAATATTACACTTCTTTGTTATATAAATGGATATAGATTTAAACGGTTTATAATACAGTAATAATTTCCATTAATTTTATGTTTCTTGAATCTTGTCAATAAAAATAGATACGTAACAAGTAGAATAATAATAGAAATGATCCGATACGCCTTGTCACCGTGTCCAGCAATTTTGTATACCGAAAGATTTTGTCAAATTATCTAAACATTTAAGTAAATACAGATATGAAAACAATTTTGTTCAACTGTTAAAATAAGGACGCTCGAACTGGTTAGAATCAAAACTTCTTGCAGCATTGCTCATCATGTTTGCGTTTCCCATATTAATTGTTAGTGTAATTATTTTGCTGACCAACATTATTAATATCAAAAGAGCAATGGTAACTCAATCTCTTGAGTTAAGTAACACTTGTTTTTAACTTTCATGTGTGTCGAAATGTAAATCAATCCATTTCTGTGATTACTTCAAAGTAAATAACGTCTACATTAATGAATGTTCTTAATAAGTAATGAAATAAATTTAAGGCAAGTTCAATATATCATCTTGAGCAGCTAAGTAATTAACTTTATTTTTTTAGTTAAAATAATGACATATAGGAGTAATGTAGTAGCAGACTTATACACGGAGAGAATTTTCTTTTAAAATTTACTCTGAAAATATGATAGTACAATATTTTAAAGATTTTTACCACATTTCAGTA